TGGGAAGGACCTTACCCGATCAAGCAGAAACTGAACAATGGAGCTTACAAGCTCGAGAAATTAAAAGGATTAAAAATGCCAAGGGACTGGAATGTTTCCAACCTTAGGCTTTATTACATTTAAACATTATGTAATGATATTATTTGAATAAAAATTGTGGGTAGCACTTTTTTCCCTTTCAAGGGCAAGAGTTTTTAATGAGGCATCCACAATTCATATGATTATGTGTCACTTTTACAAAAGAGCTAAGTTCATCCGAATAGTGATGAAAATCGTAGGCATCATTAGGGACATATGAAATCGGCTAATTAAATGTTAAACCTTTGGTCGAATTTACTTTCTCTCTCCTTACAACGATCAAGAAGTTGTATTGGGTAGAAAAAATGATGACAAATGAGAATCTCCATAACAACGCCATCGTGGCAAGGAGAGAGAAAGTCAGATGGCAACGGTAACTCACTGAGTAAGTGATCGGCAGAAATTCCAAGACTTTATTGTCTGAAGACTTCAATCCAATCACATCTCGTGATCAAGGGGCTTATGCACATCTTGGAATTCCATAAGTTCGAGCTTTTGCAAGCTGAGTGCACGAGCAAGTAAGTCGAATGGCATGATCCTAGACAAGTTGGAGCCAGTTAAGGTAAAACAACACTACCAAACCATAACAGGTCGGATCCAGTCTTAGAGTAACTACGGTCACAAAGTAAGTAAGTCGGATGAAAAGAGCTAGAAAGCAACATGAAAGGTCACATAAAATAGTTACAAAACATCTCCATGATTGCATAGGAGTTACGAAAATTAATAGGATAAACGTTACTTAATAGTTATGGAGGATGACGAACGTTACTAAGAATGGTTTTAACATAGGATATAAAGAGACCTCTTTAAAGGGATCATTGACGATGGAGTGACTATAAAAGAAGACTTCTCAAACAAGAGAGAGGACGACAACTAATACATTTTAACTTAATATGACGATTATGATATCTTCTAATTAATTTCAAAAAGATTTCTCTAAATAATATTTAAGAAAAACAAGTAGTAATAAAAATATATATTGTATTTCATTATAAAATATTTAAATAATAAAATCATCATTTCATCTTCCTCCACTCCATCATACTATTCCACTTCATTTAACTCCTACGTGCCCGATTCATTTTACAATATTCAATCATAATTTTAATAATATAATAAAATGAGTAAATGATTTATTAATTTTTTAAAAATAATTTATATATTGAAATTCTCCTTTTAAAGATGAAGAAATGTATTTGAAGTCATCTTAACTACTTAACTAGAGATGACAATTTGACCTATCTATAATGAGCACCCGCAAAAATTATCCATAATAAGTAGGGTAAAAACCCGTAAAAATTGGTACAGATATGAACTCAGGTAATTACCCACAAAAACAAGTGGATATGAACATTTTAGTACTCATTTCGTCCCATATTCGCACAAATATATATTTATGTATTTTAATTTTAATTTTAATTTATATGTTTTAATTTATGTTATTGTATAAAAATGTTCTATCAATTTTAAAAAATATATCAATGTTAAACCATTACTATTTAATATAAATGTTCGTTTATTTAAACAAGAAATTTTTTGAAAACTTTTTAATGTTTTTTAAAAATTAAAATAATATGATATTTTATAATTAATATATTTAATTTTAATAGAAATGCAGATCCCTGATACGAGTATTTACATTCCATAGAACATGGATATGGATGTTAACTTTGACGTCTAAGTGAATATATGTTCAAATACGAGAATTTTTTAATTATCTATATGAAAATAAAATTATAGTACTCTGCCCAAATTCTACCATCCCTATACTTAATCCTCACTTTCTCACGGGTCAAGTTCTTGTTGTATCAATTTTTTTATGTAACAATTGAAATTTATAAACATATGACTATTAATTGAACTCATAAATAGGATTTAAATCAATCAATCACGCATGCCTACTTTTAATATACTACACTTCCCATGCCATTTTCATTTTTTAAAATCAAAAATCAATTAAATAAATAACTTCCATTTATAACAAAATCATATAAGAAGTTTGAATTTTGACAATGATCTTAATATGGAGGGGCTAGATAACTCGGTCGATTTCATAGAAGAAGTCAACAAAATGGCTCATGTGAGGGAATGCGCAGCAAAGCAGAGGATGGCCAGAAGCTTCAACACCAGAGTCCAATCAAGAAGTTTTCAAGAGGGAGATTTGGTTCTGAAAAGGATTACAGACACGCAGAAAAAGAGAAAGTTTTCCCTAAATTGAGAAGGGCCTTACTGGATCAAGCAGAAACTGAACAATGGAGCTTACAAGCTTGAGAAATTAGAAGGATTAGAAATGTCAAGGGACTGGAATGTTTCCAACCTTAGGTTTTATACTTTTATTATAGTTAAGCATTATGTAATGATATTTTGGATAAACATTGTGGGTAACACTTTTTTCCCTTGCAAGGGCAAAAGTGTTTAATGAGGCACCCTCAATCCATATGATTATAAGTCACTTTTACAAAAAGAGCTAAGTTCATCCCAATAGTGATGAAAATCGTAGGCATCATCGAGGACATATGAAGCTATGGGGCTTTAGTCGGTTTACTTTCTCTCTCCTTACAATGATCAAGAAGTTGTATCGGGTAGAAATAATGATGACAAATGAGAAACCCCATAAAACGCCATTGTGGCAAGGAGAGAGAAAGTCAATTGGCAATGGTAACTCACAAAGTAAGTGATCGACAGAAATTCCAAGACTTTCTTGTCCGAACACTTCAATCCAATCACATCTCATGATCGAGGGGCTTATGTACATCCTGGAATTCCATAGGCTCGAGCTTTTGCAAGCTGAGTACAAGAGCAAGTAAGTCAAATAACATGATCCTAGACAAGTCGGAGCCAATTAGGGTATAACAATACTACCAAACCGTAGCAGGTCAGATTCGGTCTCGGAGTAACTAGGGTCGCGGAGTAAGCCGAATGAAAAGAGCTAGAAAGCAACATGAAAGGTCACATAAAACAGTTACAAAACATCTCCAGTATTGCATAGGAGTTACGAAAATTAATAGGATAAACGTTACTTGATAGTTATGGAGGGCCACAAACGTTACTAAGGATGGTTTTAACATAGGATATCAAGAGACCTCCTTAAAGGGATCATTGATGATGAAGTGAGTATAAAAAGAAACTTCTCAAACGAGGAGAGGACAACAACTAATACCTTCTACCTCAATATGACGACTATAATCTCTTCTAGTTAGTTTCATGAAGATTTCTCTAAATAATTTTTAAGAAGAACTAGAAATAAATAAATAAAATTGTTGTATTTCATTATAAAATATTTAAATAATAGAATTATCATTTTATCTTCCTCCACTCCATTGCCTGATTCATTTTACAATATTCAATCATAATTTTAATAATATAGTAAAATGAGTAAATGATTTATTAATATTTTAAAAATAATTTATATATTGAAATTCTCCTTTTAAAGATGAACAAATGAATTTGAAGTCATATTAACTACTTACTTAGAGCATTTCCAATGGTGCAACCCATTTTTAGATTTTTTGTGGGACCCACTCTTTTAAAGCAACTCATTCAATTTTCACTTCAATGGTGCAACTCTAAAAAATTCATATTGTGTCCCACCACTTTACTTAAAAAATATTATTTATATTAAATTTATTTTATTTAAAATTATAATTTAAATATTTAAATTTTAATTAAAATGATAATTAAAATAATAAATAAAATTTTATATCAAATTATAGTTTTTATATTATAAATTTAATATTTTAATATAAGAACCATTGAAGAACCGTTGCATATTTAAGAACTTTTCCATCTTGAAAACAACAAATATGAGTGTCATGTTGGTAAACCCACTCTAAGAACTCCCATTAGAGTTGGTCTTAAGGATGACAATTTGACCTATCTATAATGGGCACCTGCAAAATTATCTACCATAGATAGAATAAAAACCCGTAATAATTTGTACAGGGATGAACTCGGATAACTATACACAAAAATAAGCGGGTATGAGCATTGCATTCCCATTCTGCCCATATTCGCACAATATATTTTAATTTTAATTTATATTATTATATAAAAATGTTTTATCAATTTTAAAAAAATATATTAATGTTAAACCATTTTGTATTTAACATATAAATGTTCGTTTATTTCAATAAGAAATCTTTTAAAAACTTTTTAATATTTTTTAAAAATTAAAATGATATAATATTTTATAATTAATATATTTAATTTTAATAATGCAGGTAACGTATACGAATATTTACATTTCCATAGATCAAAGGATATGGATGTTAACTTTGACATGTTCAAATTCCAAAAATTTTTTAATTATCTATATGAAAATAAAATTACAGTACTCTACCCAAATTCTATCATCCCTATGCTTAATACTCACGTGAGGTCAAGTTCTCGTTGTATCAATTTTTTTCCGTAACAATTGAAATTTATAAACATATGACTATTAATTGAACTCATAAATAGGATTTAAATCAATCACGCATGCCTACCTTTAATATACTACACTTCCCATGCCATTTTCAATTTTTGGAATCAAAACTCAATTAAATAAATAACTTCCATTTATAACAAAATCATCAATTCCTCATTCACAACCTCCCTCATCAGAAATTGGCCAAGAGAAAAATATTTGTATCGTGCTAACTTATTATAAAAGAAAAACTGTACAAATTTAGAAATTGAAAAAATATATATAATGTGGTGCTGCTGTAGAAACAGTTAGATTTAAACAAGAAAAGAACCCAAAATTCAAAGCACAGTCAAATTTCGGACCTGTATTTCTCAGGTGGCTGATGGTCCAATGTTCCCCGCTCAATTCTGCATAAATACTCTCGCCGTTCAATCACGTTTATCGTATGATTGAACGCATGACTTAAAATGTAGAATTGGACGGTACGACTTAAGCGTGGTCTGATTCATCAAAGGATTTAACGGCGGGCAGAATCAACGGCAGATGACGGCATGATAGGAGCAGTAGCAGAAGAAGTTCCTTCATCGTCGCTATTATTGACCTTTGGCTTTGGTGACCTAAACGACAATGCCCTAGCCAAAAACGACGGTGCTCTAGTAAAAACCCACCGGTCTGATTTAAAACTCCGGTCCACCCAGCTCGAACTCTTTCCTTTACTACTTCCTTCACCGGTTCGGTAACCATGCCTCGAGCTACTTTCTCGTGGTAACGTAATCAAACTACTCGTCCGTTGTAACTGCCGGTTCATTAACTGTTTCCTCACCGCAAAAGGCAGTTTCAAGGTGAACCGGTCCGTGTTCTCACCCGGTTGAACCAACGAATGACCGGTCGAGTGCGACTTCGGAAAACGACGCGCCCGGTTCGACTGAGATCCACGCGTTCGATTCCTATTCAGCGTTTTCTCCAACGAAATCACCTCCGGAGGAACCAAAACTGGATCAGCTTCCGCGTTTCGTTCCTCTACTGGTGCTTGAACTTCGTCGTTTTGAGCTTCAATATCTTGATGTTGTGACTCGTTGTTTGACTCGGGATTACCGTGAACTGAGTCAACAGGTTCCGGAACGAGATTCGCGCGACAAACGGGACATGTGGTATGCGAAGATAACCACTCGTCGATACACTCCGGGTGAAAAACGTGATCACACTTGGGAATCAGACGCAGCGTTTCGGTATCTTCGAACTCGCATAAACAAACAGCGCACTCGAGCACCTCTTTTCCGATCTTATGGATCTTGACTTCGGAGTATTCGAGAATCGGGAAAGTCTCGATTACTGATGAATCGAGTCCACGAGTTGTGATACCTAGACGACCGTTGATGATGGGGAGACCGCCGTTGGAAGAAGGTGAGTCGGAGCAGCGACGGATGTAGATGGAGAAAAAGCCCATGAGGAAAAGAGCAGCGATTAAGATGACTATGATTATAGCAAAGGAAGGGCTGAATTGTTTGAAATTTGGATCTGTGAAGTCGTTGGTTTGGTTTCGGGCTTGGGCTTGGGCTTTTGTGGCGGAGAGAAGGAGGATTAACGGTAGGATGAGGAGGATGAATAAGCGGGAATGGTTTTTCATTTTGCTGTGTTTTTTTTCTTTGTTGAAGAAGAAATAGGAAATAGAGAGCAAGAGAAGGGAAAGAAATAAAGAGAAGAGGTTTTAAATGAGGTTGCAAAAGAGTGTGTGTGAATGGGAAATAGATAATCTCTTTACTTCAAACAGCTCAGTTGATACTCAGTTGAAAAATTCGTGAAATTTTATTTATTTATCTTTAAAATAATTAAGAAGAATTAGAGAAAGATAAAAAAAAAAATCTTATATTAGGCATATTGTCATCTTTTTGCGAATTTTAGCCTGTTGGATTGATCGTCTGGGTGTGTAGGGAATCAAGAATTAGAAAGTGGTGGTCAAAGATGGTGTGCCCAATTTATTTAATGGCTGCGAAGCTTCTTTGGAGAAGTGTTTTGGTTTGTGTTCCTATTATTAACCGTTAGTCAAAAATTATAGATGGTTTTGATTATTTTATTTAAATTGAAAAATGTAATTAATTTTTTATTAAAGAAAAGAAAGTATAAGTTATTTTATAAAATGGGTTTTTTTTAATTAATTATAAGAAGAAGAAAATTAAAAGAGTTTGAATGAGAATGAATATTAAATAATATGATAAACTAAGAAATGTTATTCACTTTATAAAATGATTCAGAATTAGTGTTCTTTTTGTAAAGTTAGGAAGTCGGTAATAATTAGTTTACCTATATTTTAGAGGGTGGACATTTAGAGTAATGGAATTTGTTAATAGAGGGGGGAAAGGTTATATAAAGTTTTTGTCTTTTTAAATATTTCAAATTTTTTTATTAGTCTTCGTAATTTTTTTTAAAAGTTTTGTTCCGGAGTTATTTTTGATCACCATTTTAAATTATGTTTATAAATAAATTTATTCTTTCTAATAGAGGTGATAATAGATAGAATTTCGGTAAGATACTATAATATCCGTCTTCATATGCAGTTAAAAAAAATCTTTATACACGAATTCATACTCGCTCAAGCATTAATATTGTACCCCTACCTTATAGGTATGTAAGTGCTCGTTTCCGTAGTCATTACCCACGTTTTTAATAAAAATAAATATATCAATTATAAAATATTATATTATTTAAAGTTTTTAAAAACATTTAAAAGTTTTTTTAAAAAATATATTGTTAAATTGTGAAATAAATGACCTCTTATATTAAATATGTAGTAGTTTAAAATTAATGATTTTTTTAAATTTTATAAACATTTAATTTTATAATAATATTATGCGGGTATGAGGCATGGTGGGTACTAAAGTGTCCATATCCGCATTTATTTTCGTTTATTTAAATGCATAATTATCTGAGTCTATGTCTGTATCTTTATTTGCTAGATTTTACCCTGTTCATTGTGGGTAATTTTGTAAGTACCCACCAGTGATGAGCTAAATTGGCACCCTTACTTTTTAACTAACTTTTAATTTTAAATTTATTAAATAATTGATATGTTTATTCTATATATAATTTAAATATATTATTTATTGGATGAATTTAAAAATCAAAATTTATTTATAAAACAGAATGAAGAAAGTAATGGATATTGACTTGACAATAACATATAATGATGTGTCAGAATAATGACTAAGATATTATTTTTTAAAAATTAAATAAATATAATTCAATCAAAGTAATAATACAAATAATAATAATTTTTTGTTATTAAATAAAATATAAAACAATAAACTTATAAATTAGATTTTAATATGAATTAAAGAATACATGTGAGAGGTATAGGGGTGGCAAAGTGGGCAGCCCGTCCTATTTAGATCCGTCCCGTTTAAATTCGTTTAAAAGTAGGGCGTGACGGACCAACTTAGGCGTCTTAGTTCAAAAGTCAAGTCTGCTCCGTTTACTAACGAGTTGGCGGGTCGGCCCACTAATTTTTTATTTTACAAATTAATTTATTATATAATTTACAAAAACAAATTATTTATTACCAAAGAGGACGACAAAAGATTTTTTTAAGAACGCATAATAGAATTTCAACATGTTTTAAGTCTAAACAGTTCAAAAAATAAAATAAATAAAGACCAATTACAACAACAAAATACGAAATAAACCCAAGCACAATAAAAACGTATCAAAGTAGATAAATAAATAAATAAATAATACATATCATTCTAATCCTATTTAAAAACTAACTACTAAAAGAACCCAATTAAGAATTTATAAAAGAGAAACAATGATAACAATTAAATTGCATAAAACATCACAGTGCATAAATAATCAACACCTGACTTTCTCACTGTTTACATCATATAGAGTCTTATATTGACTGATTCCTTAATAGTTAAATCCTAAATTTGTCGCACGTATACACTAATCAAATCCTTCATTTTCTTAAAATCAACATTTATTTCTAAAGAAAACATGTGAGCTAATTTTTGACAACTTAATAATTCAGCATGACATACAATTGTTCTTTTATTTTAAGTTTTTCCAATCAACACATGTATTAGAAGGTTATAGAAAGAACGTTATAATTATAACTTATTTTGTTTGTATAATAATTTATAATACAATTCAATCAACATAAACCTAAGAGAAGAGTGTTGTTTTTATAGTTAAAGTTGTTTTAATTCTAAGTAAAAAAAATAAAATAGTTTTAACAAAAAGTCTGTGGGCAAACCCGCCCCGCCCCACCTCGGCCCGCTTTTTCAAGCGGGGCGGACCAACTTAAAGTATCGAGTCAAAAACCTCAGTCCAACCCGTCAAAAATGGCGGGTCAAACGGGCCGACCCAGTGGGTCTGACCCATTTTGCGACCCCTAGAGAGGTATGTACATTCTCAATTAAAGAATGATGTTGCTTTCAATTGAAGAATGGTGTTGTGTTAAATTGAAGTTTGAAAAATTGATTCACTGACATCTATTATTTTTGTAATATCTCATATCCTCTTAAAGGTACATTTCTTTACTAAGTGAGATAAATTGAGTAATTAGTAAGTTAAGAAGAGATTAATTCTTAATCAATTCTCTTAATCCTTACTAGTTAGTAAGTAAGGGCAATTTGGTAATTGAGATGAGTGGCATTTTAGAAATTATGAGAGTTGCCAAGGGCAAAATGGTAAAAGTATAAGTAAGCTCACTAAAATACAAAATACCTAATTACATATCATTATCAATTTCATTTTTCATTTGTTAGTAAAAAAAAGAGAGAAAGAAAAGAAAGAAGAGGAAGAGAGAGAAGAGAAGAGAAGAAGAAACTTATGGAGGAAGAAGAAGAGCTTGAAGCAAGAATTGGAAGCAAAATTTTCACCTCATCTCATCTCAATTAACCACCATCTTCCTTTCTAAGGTGAGTTCTTAATTAGCATAGCTTTTGGGGGGAATTTTACATGAAAATCGAATTTAGGATTTGATGGAATCTTGCTTGTTTGTGAAATTGATGAACAAAACACACTCCTTGTTATGTATTGTACTGTTGTTAGTAACTCATGATGACATATTATATTAATGTTGTAAAGTTATGTTGTGTTGTTGAGTATTGATGTTGTGGTGATGTTGTGAGATTATGTAATGACGACATGTTATGTTATGTTTGTGTTGTTGAGTATTGATGTTTTGGTAATGCTATGGGGATATGTATTGAAGTGATATGGTTGTTTTGTTGTTGTTGGATTGATGTTTTATTCATGTTATAAGATTATATGAAGAAACTATGATGTTTTTGTTGTTCCTTGTTATCATGATACGTTGATAACATGAGTTTTTGTTGTTATAGTTAAAATTTAACGAAGTTAGGAAGTAATGAAAACATAATTGTCTTATTATCCTTGTATGATGTTCGATACATGGTATGAGATGCTTGTATACGACAGATTATGATTATATGTGGCTTATAATGGTTTAAGATTGAAGAAGATATGTTTATAAGTAAGATTTTTAGAAGAGTTGCATATAACAGTCGTTGCCTTGAAGAACCAATTGATTGCCTTCATGAATGAACGAAGAAATTTAGAAATTCCCAGGTGACAGTCTATTATCACAATCGATTGTCATGATGTGTTGTTGAGAAAAATGTTGGACAAGATGTTTAAAATAATCAATTGTTCCCCAAGACAATCGATTGTTTACCTTGTTTCGTGCAAAACATCAATTTTTTAATGATTATAAGCTATCATGGATGCCCTATAACTTGCACTATGATATGTGTGTATTGAATTAACAATAACTGATCAAATTCCATGAGAGTGAATGTGTTTTAACATAGGATATTGGTTAGGTTAAAATGATTAGAAAAGATAAACTTAAGTTATGATGATTAACTTTGGTTGTGATGCTCGATTGTGAAAGGTACCTCGACTTGTACCCATGAGCGAGTAGTCACTATAGATGATTCATTTCATCTACGAGAGTGCCCGAATAACATGGATGGTGAACGATAATCTAGTTGCAAGTTAATGGATTTGTATGGAAACATATTATAATAATCACATGGTGATTGGTGAGTATACTCACATAGTTATTAATTAGTATAATCACCTAGTGGTTGTTGAGAATAATCACATATTCGGGAATAATCCCTTTTCGTGCTTATCCCAAGTTCGACTCTTATGTAAAGTAATGATCGAGATAGACGAACCATTGATTCGTAACCTCAAAGTAGGTTAGAGTCTCATAGAGGACTGAACCTTAAAGTGGTTTAGAGTCCTATAAAGGAGTTATCCTTAAAGTGAGTTAGAGTCTCATGGAGGAGCAAATTCACAATGGAAAAGGTGAATCATTGTACAGACATTCGTGACCCATGACCCATTTTCCTAGATGTATGATAGGTTTGAGAAAATTTTCTGGTGTGACAAAGATTTGTGACCCGTGTCCATGGTCCTATCCGTGGAATACAATGGGGTAAGATAATTTGTTGTTTGCATTCACAAATAATGATTTAGTGAGTTATGTGGACTCAACTTTATATGTTTCCATACGAGGTGAAAACCCTTAGATAGTTAAGCTTTTATTCAAATGTGTAAGTGTGTACAACTTGGATAAAGTCAAATGGCTTAAGTTAA